CAGGCAGGCTCTGCACAGAGGGCTGTCAGAAATACCTATATTACAAAGGTGTTTGTTAAAGTAGCCGTGACCCGTGAGTATACCCACGATTTGTTTCAGGGCTTGTCTAGGTAGTCTGATTAACTTACGTGTTAGTTGCAGGTTTACCTTAGGAACGGCTTCCCTGGCTTGCCTGCAGTCCGTGAGTTTTGACCAGTAATCGTCGTGTTGTCGTTGAGAGCGCTCCCTTATCCAGGTTCGCAGCTGCCGATAGGGTATGGGTATAATTGGCTCCGGACCAATGGCCGTCCTGCTAGACCCCTCCCTGGCTAAGCAGTCCGCCGCATCATTACCCCTTGAGCCGCTGTGTCCTTTAATCCACTGTAGGGTCAATCTATTGTCGTTCGCAATATTAGTCAACTTACTGTGGCATTCGTAAATTAAGCCTGATGTCATTATATTGTTGTCCAGTGCCTGTAGGACAGAAGCGCTGTCAGAGAGGATACGAATGTGTTTACCTCTTACCCCGCGACATTCTATCGCCTCAGCAGCTCTGATGATGCCCACACACTCTGCCTGGAAGACCGTGTTGTAGGCACCCAAAGCTGTCGAGATGTGTATATTCAGGTCTTCGGAGAAGACACCCGAGCCCGTACCACAGTTGGTTTTTGAACCGTCTGTGTAGACCCTCAACTCCTTATGCAGACAACGGTCCGGGGTGTCTTCATAAAGTTGAATTTTGTATTTTTTGTCAAATACGTACGTCTTAGGAATAAGGTCGTTTACTGCTGCAAAGTACGGAAAGTGCCTGTGTATGTCTGCCAAGATGCTGGTGTGCGGGGAGTTGTTGTCTCTCCAATGCCCCAGCATGCTTAGGCGCGTGGCTGTACATGCAGCTTCCTGTTGTATAAACAAGTGGAGTGGTCTCACGTTAAGTATTGTCTCCAGTGCTGATGTGGGAGTGGTTTTCATGCAGCCGGTGATTGCACAGCATGCCCGCCTCTGGAGACGTCTTAACTTATTAATTGTCGTTACCTGGATTGTCTTGGTCCACCATACTACTGCTGCATAGCTGATGATGGGCCTAATTATGGTCGTGTATAGCCACTTAACAATGAGCGGTGATAGTCCCCAAGTTTTGCTAATCATTTTGCGACATTGCCAGAAAATGATGTTAGTCTTCGTTGTAGTTTTGTCTATGTGGGATCCCCAGTTCAGTTTGGAGTCTAGGGTTATTCCTAGATACTTTACCTCGTTGGAGAGCCTCAGTGTCGTGTTAAATAGTTTCGGTAGCCGATAGTCGCCTAATGATCTTTTATTCGTGAACATGACCAATTCCGTCTTCACTGGGTTCACCTTAAGGCCGTAGTCGTCACACCATTTTTCAACAACCTTCATTGCCCCTCGCATAACATCACAGGCGGTGCTCGCAAACTTACCTGGTATTATGATTGCAAGGTCGTCCGCGTAGCCCACCGTGTGGTAGTGAAGGTTGTTTAGATTGGTAATTAAGTCGTTTACAACTACATTCCATAGCAGAGGCGACAGTACTCCTCCTTGAGGGCATCCTTTAGTTGCCAATGCTCTGAGATGATTGTCGTCTTGTAGTCTGATTAGTCTGTTACGGAGCATGTTACTTACCCAGTATATAATGGTCTCATCGACTCCGTGTTTGCCAAGTGCGTCTACTATGCTGGCGAAGCTTGTTTTGTCAAACGCGCCTTCTATGTCTATAAAGGTGCCCAGACATAGCTCTTTCCGTCTGAGACTATCCTCTATTTTACTTACGACTGCATGTAGTGCAGATTCTGTCGACTTGCCTGGACTATAGGCGTGTTGGTTCGGATGTAGTGGAACATTGACTAGTTGGTTGTCTCTCAGCTCTCTGTCGCACAGTCTTTCCAGGGTCTTTAGCAGAAATGATGAGAGACTTATTGGTCTGAAAGATTTCGCCTCGTTGTAGTCTGCCTTACCCGGTTTTGGTATGAAGATTACCTTGACCTCCCTCCAGAGCTTCGGGGTGTATCTAAATGCAAGACACGCTCTCAGGAGGGGCACCAGGATAAGGATTAGTGCTTCACCTGCCCATTGAAGCAGCGCCGGAAAGATGCCATCTGGTCCGGCTGCCTTGAATGGCTGGAAGCTGTTGATGGCCCACCTTAACTTATCTGTAGACACTGTCTTCAATGCAGTGTTCCAGGATTGTTCCGTGGGGGTCCAGCTAGTGTCATTCCATGTATGTGTCGTGTGTATGATGCAGCCCGGAAAGTGGGTTTCAAGTAGTACCCTCTGTGCCTCCTCAGTTGTTTCTGTGAGGGAGCCATCAGCCTTCCGGAGCTGTGCTAGGTCTTGCTGCCTATCTTTAGATAGCAGTTTCCTTACCTTATTTGCCTTTGTGCATGAGTCTATATCTGAACAAAATTTCCTCCAAGACCCATTGCTCCAATGTCGGATGCGTCTCTTGTAAAGTGCCTTGGCATCTTTGTACGCATCCCAGTCCTGGTCGTCACATGTATTCATGGCCCTGTTAAAAAGTCTTCTTACCTTTTTCCTCAGTTTTTCCAGCTCGGGACCCCACCAAGACTGGCTGGCGCCCGAGTTGGATGATGGTGTACTAAGAGGACAGGCTGTCTGATAGCTTGAGATTATAACTCTTGTTAATTCCTCAGCTGTTTCGTCTATTTTATAAGTTTCGTCTAAACTACCAGACTGCAGATGTCGCAGTGACCGAGTTACCTGTCTGCGATACTGGCTTCTGTTTGTTTTGCTAGGTATGCGTCTAGGTGGCTGGGTGACACGCTGTACCGCGATGTTGAACCTAATCCACCTATGGTCAGAGCAGGATGCCTCTGGGGAAACGTGCCAGTCAGAGATCAGATCCGCTGCTCTTCTTGATGCTAGTGTAAGGTCGATGATGGATCTGCCCCTTCTTGTTACGAAAGTAGGTTCAGATCCTGTGTTTATTATATTAAGGTTAGTGGTAAATAGATAATCTACTAATTCCTCACCTCGTTTGTTGCTTTTCGTCATACCCCACAATTGATGGTGGGCGTTGGAGTCGGTGCCGATGATCAGCGCCTTGTCTGTTTGTTCGCAGTGTCTCACCAGCTCAGCCAGTTCCCCTGACGGAGCTTCCTCTCCTTCAGGCATGTAGGCAGAGGCAACTACCAGGACAGGTACACTTGGATTTTGCTGTTGTATTATTTGGATTGTTGTTATGTCGCTAGAACAAAATTGTGTCATTATTTTTGCCTGTAGGTGTTTTGAACATACTATGCAGGTCCGCGGTGAGCGGTTACCTGGGTTGTAAAAATTCTTACCACCGGTGTTGTTGAGGCCACATATGGTGTTGGATCTGATCCACGGCTCCTGGACCAGAGCAATAGCCCCGTCATTGTTTTCCTCCAGCCACTTCCTGAGTTGAGCCGTTGCGGTGCGACTGTGCTGGAGGTTTGTCTGAATGAGCTTGACTTTACTCGGTGGAGGCGCCATCGGACGCAAGCAAAACATCGACATCCACCTCTTGCCCGATGTCGATTCCACCCAGCTTGTCAGCCCATTCGTCCATCATGTCCGCTGCTCCTTGCTCACCCAAAGTGGGATCCGCCGGAGCCGGAGTTGTCGAATCCTGCTCTTGGTCTGGCTTTGGAGCTGCTATGCCCCCCGATGAGCCCGGCGACGGAGCAGATGTTGGTTGCTCTAAAGGCGGCAGGCTGTCCAGGTATTGACCACCCTGGTTCCTGAACCTTACATACACCGAGCCCATCAGGTAGCACAGTCTCCTGCCTCTCGCAAGCAGTTTCTCTGCGACGTCCCTGGTGGTGCTGAACACCAGGAACGTGTTGTCGTCTCCTGCGATGGCCTTGTGTAATAGCCATCGGTCTACGTCTGCCTGTTTATTTTGATAGCGCAGCAGCTTGGCTATCGTGTGTGGTTCCCTCGTGCCCGGGACAAGTAATCCACACACCACCCTCTTCGGCCTATCAATTTGGCGCTGCACTATCAACTCGTCTTCATACCCCGGGACCTTCAGTCCGGCTACGGTCTTCTTGACCCACTCCAGCGTGCGGGGCGTCTCACACCAGAGGCTCAGAGCTCCACCACCAATGATGGGTTTACCCTTAAGGTTCGGGCCTTCGTCCGTTGAAGGTCCTGCCATAAGGAGTTCCTCTACAACGGCGTCCTCCAGAGCCTTAAGGACAACCCCAGCATGAGCAGCGCTGATATGTCCTGTATTTTTGCCCGTTATTACAACGAGCAAGTCGGCTGTAGCCGCATCGGCAAATGATTTTTTGTCTGTACGACGCAGCCCCTCGGGTCTAGGCTTCTTATGTTGCCCCCTTGGTGAGATGGTGTCGTCCAGTCTGGGCCTCTTCGAGGCCTCTTGTCTGTCCGTCTGTCCCTTATTTGTTTGTCTGTCCGTCTGTACATTAGTCGGTCTGTCTGTCTGTACTTGGTCCTGGGTTCCCTGACTCGTAACAGCCTGTTGAGCGGCCTTGGCTGCTGCAGTTTTGTTACGGGCCTTCCTAGCCCTCTGCCCGAGTCTGTGCCGGTCGGTTGTCGTTTTTGTCTTGTCAACACTTGGGCCCCCAGTCCTGTCCACTGCCTTCCGATTCTTACGTCGGTAGGTAGCGACTTGCCAGGAGTCCAAGTCACCATCCACTTCCTGCGGCTGTTGCCTGACACCGGGTTGCCCCTTCACCAAGGCTTCCAACGCACGGGACGTAGATGGTACGTCTAGGTCTGTATTGGTCGGCCTGACACCGGGTTTCCCCTTCACCAGGTATACCGACTCTTTGTCTGTCTTGTTCGTCTGCCTGTCACCGGGTTTCCCCTTCACCAGGTATCCAGACGCTGTTATGTCCTTGTCTTTGTCGCTTATATTATGGGATCTGTTTGGTTCCATTTCACGTGTCTATTAAAGCTTCATCCTCACCAGTCCCACCCGCCACGGAGCCACAACTGGGATGCCGATATTAAAAATCAAGGCACCAGGATTGTGGTGAGGATATAGGGGCACAGGGTTTTCCTCTCAGCGCGACATCGGGAACTGCAGCTACATGGCTGGTAGTCGATCCCAACTACCAGTGGTTCCATGCAACCTTGCTCCTTCAGCATGGCCGGAGTCCATCGCTAGATGTTAAGAGCGACCCCCACACCCCTCGCCGGCGACCCATAGACGGTAGACGCCCTGACCATTGCCTCGTGGTCGGCTACACCACGAAGTTGCCGTCTCGCTTGAAATCCGGGCCAAAGTGCTGTGTTGCTTCCGGGGTGCCGCAGCTACCCTTTCCGCTCAAACACCAGGATCCCTTCATCCCTGCTTACGGCGATGCTGCGCAGGTCCTAGCGCAGGAGAGGCTGACGCACCACCAGGCCGCCTCCCTACTCCTGGTGGATGGGGAGGAAAATCGTCTGACCATTTCAGTTACGTCTGTTTCATAGGGAATCAGACCAATAACGGGCGGCAACCACGTGAAGGAAAACAGTCAGGCTTGTCTGGGGGATCTACACGACCTGCGCTCGCTCCCCAGACCATTCACCAGATTACCAGACGGGACGCAGAATGGTAAAATAGGTGATGTGTTAGGTTTAGCCGTCTTTGTGCTATATATAAACCTAACACATCCCCCGCCCATTCAAATGCCTCGCGCTCTTTCTTTTTCTTTTGCATTGGTAATAACAATATTAAAAAAAATGAGCGTGAGTATTCGAAAACCTCAGGCGGCTAGAAATAACAATATAAAATCTTAAGCGTTAGCGTTTCCCAAAGCATTTCCGTTAGGCGGTTAGCCCCCAGGCTTTAAAATTGAAAATGGAACTAAAAAGTAAAAATTCACACAAAATCGAGCGGGTCCTATTATGATTTACAGTCGGGCTGGGCCAAGATTGAATCATGGAATAGATTTTTATTTCTAAAACCGGTTTACGTGTTTTAAACTCTTGATCCACCCGACATCCAAATCATAGTAGGACCTAGGACCCGCCCGTTTTTATGTGAACCGGATATTATTTTTTGATAAGTCAACAGCAATACGAATTTGATGTTTTTGTTTTCTCACTATAACATCACATTGTACTGAACTGTTTGGTTTTCGGGCTACTACGATAAAAAAAACGCCAATAAAATAAACACCATTTAAAATTAAAGGTATATTTTAATAAAGTATTTTGTGAATACGTATTTTGTATTTTAAATATAAAATTATTGACATTTTGTATATTTGAATACAAAATGTCAATACTTTTATATTTTTAATTTTTCAATACTTTTAATAATGTATTTTGTACTTTTACTATCGGCTACTTTGGATAATTATCCGATAACAACCGCTATTTTACAACTATAAGTCAGTACCCAATCTTCATATTCCATCCAAAGGGAAGGCCTGTGCCCCAGCAGTGGGGACATTGATAGGCCGATGATAATGATTATGAATGAAATCCGAATAACTCGCACCAATTAGTCTGATAATTTGTTACCAGGTCCTCCATTTGACCGATAATCCCGCGGCCGTTGCTCAAAAGCAGGTGCAACAGGATTTAGAAGCGGCTCAGGAAGAGGTAAAGTTAACTTTATGTGTTACTAGTTTAGGTTAAATTTAATTTATAGCACAGTGTGACCTAAACCCGCACTTTACGCACGCTTTTCCGTGACCTAAGTTGCCTATTTCTGCACGGTGTGTAAATGAATTGACCAACTTCACTCATGTAGAAAAAATAAAAGGAAACACATTTAAATGTCATTTGGAGCTTAAAAACTGGCAGCAAACAAATGACAAATTAGCGATATTCTTGTTTGAATTATACGAGTACAAAAAATAAAGCTCATTCCCGTTGTTTAATATATTGTTATGCCAATCAAGGAATAAACGTTCATGGATACATTGAAATTCTATTTTGTTGTAATGATATTTGATTTTTTCCTTTTGAAATATACTTTCAAAATGGTAATCTGAACCGGAATTCTTTCTTTTCAGAGTTTGACTTGCAGTCTGTATTGCAATTCTTTGTGATTGCAATACATGAATTTTACTTTCAAAACACTAATCGAACCCCCCCTCTTGCCCGCGTCCGGGGCGGGTTTATGTCACACTTGCTATAAAATAGTATACGATACTTGTGGCCTAAGTTGTCTATTACTGCACGGCGTGAAGTTAGCGCCCGAGCGGAGCGAGGTAGTAATAGGCAACTTAGGTCACGCGTATCGTAATGTACTATTATCACAAGTTGTTAAATAAATGGTTTTTGTCTCTTGAAATATTTCTGTATTTCTTCTTGTTCTTGTCTTTTTATTATTTCTCAATTTACACATTTACTTTTGATGTACGTTTTTGGAATAATCTTTGAAGCAAAGAATTTCCAAAAAAGTTTAGTTTTTTAGAGATTTTTTATGTGTTCACCAAATTTTGCTTGCCATAGAATTTTCTTTTCATATCTTTTTATTTAGTTCGCTATTATATAAGATCATTTTCTTTTATACAACCTCTGTGGTTCCAGTTTTATGTAGACCACCGGGTTTCAAGGTGTTGCCTACTCAGAGTTCGGGGTTCGAATCCCGGTGGGGCAAATGTTTGTGTGATGAACACAACCATTTGTACCTTATTCATGGATTTTTAATATGTATTTCTAGATAAAATATGTTTTTTATAATATATCAGTATATGTATTCTATCCGTAACCCTAGTATCTCATAACGCAAGCCTTACAGTGCTTATTTTGGGGCTACGGTAATTGGTGTGTATTTGAAATATTTATTATTATTTAGATATATTTATAGTGGTACAAAAATTATAGATAAAAAGGCTGAAAGCAGCATTACGCGAAGGCGGATCGCGCGATGTCTCAGAGGAAACTCAGAAGTTGCGGCAACAGCTCGAGAGTAGAGACATCAAGCTGAAAAGGTATTATTATATTTTTATTTTTTAAGTTATCTGCTAGATAAACATCAAGTGTATAGATAATCAAAAGACAATTTTACTAGAAAAAAATCCACGCGATCCAGGCAGCAGACTGGACTCGAACCCGCACCCTCCGCTATCACGGCGGATGCTGACCAAAATTATTTATTTATTTAATAACCACTTACATCTATCTTTACACTTATAAACTAATAAATAGAGCAGTTACAATATTACCAATTATAATACAAAACTAAAAAATAAAAAAGCACAAACTAAACAACAAAATATGACATAAATAAACACCTTTATGATAATTTACAATACAATATTGACACGGTCATTAAGATCGCTGTAGCATAATTAGTCAGTGCATCCGCCCGGATAGCAGGGGTAGCATGTGGGTCAGAGTCCCGTTCGTTGGCTGGACCGAGTGGATTTTTTTAGTTAAATTGTCTTCAGATTTATAGGTATGTCAATTTATTTAACGAGTGTATTTTGTGATCATCAAGTTCTTATTATTAACTATTAGCTATATTTATTGTTAAAATTATTTTTTATTGGACTTCAGATTTGTATACTTTCTATTCGCTAAGTGTAATAGGGATGAGGACGGGGTAAAGTACTAAAAAGTAATTATATTTAGTCCGTCAGTTAGATTATCAAAAAATTATAGACATATTTTTTTGTCAATCAACCAAAATATGACAAACATTAAATGCGTCATAGATTTGGAGTGGGGGCTCGTGTCGTCGCTTCTAAGTCAAAATTTTACCAAGACGTGACGTCATGCGTTATTTCAAATCGTATATATCTATATAATGTTCAAATTATATGAATAAAGAAAAAATATTTGTTTTAATACTTTTTGATTTTTTTAATTGTTTGAATTTGTTGTGTGTTAAATAAAATACTGAAATCAGTTCGTGTGTATGAAACAAGAAGCGAAGGTGCCACAACAGGTTTTAAAATTTCTGTGCTTTAGATTTTCATGTTTTGCTAATCTACGTAATTTCAGAATGAAAGAAGAGTTTACGTCTTCAGCACAGGAATACAGAGATGTTTGTTACATGCTGCTAGGATATAAAATTGATAGAACTGGACATAAAAATTATAGGTAAGAGATTTTTATCAATTGACTTGATTACTTAGTTCCCTTACTCTCTTTCAAACTACTAACCTAAAGAAGCAACACCTTATTTAATATTTTTTTTATTTTTATTTTATATTTAGGGAGTTAATAGTACATCGATGGTTTCGACAGTATCCGTATTACTAATATAATAATAATAATCATTTACTCATAACCAAGATTTCACATTTTTTATACTATTGTATTATGTCATTAAGTCTTGTCGTCTTTTTCGATTTCCTGTCTAAAAATCTGAACAGATTTTGATGAACTTAAGTAAAAAGATGAAAGGGCCCGAGGCAAGTCTCGAGAAAGGAAATAGGATAGTTTTTATGCCAGAAATCATCAACTGGAAAGGAAAGTTTCTATGGGAATATAATTTTACTACGCAGACGAAGCCACGTGCAGCCACTTGTTTAATAAAAGCGAAAGTAACTGTCTGTTATGTTCTCGTTTAACAGCTGAACTGATTTCATGTCATGACATCCCTATTTCATCCATTGGGCAGGCCCGTGGACCACAATTGGGGACATTAATAGCCTGATAAGATGATGAAGCTGAAGCTGAGCTCGATGGCGCAGATGGATATGGCTTTCGGCCACAGATCTTTGAAATTTAGCAACTTTCGCAATGGTCGGTCATTGCACGGGTGACTAAATAATGATTATCTCGAGCTCCTTCGTGCTTCAGAAGGCACGTTAAGCCGTTAGTCCCAACTGCATCTGCAGTCGTTAGGCCCCACCCAATTCGCACTGGGCCCACCGTGGTGGGTCATGGCCCAATCTCCCTATTCCATCCAATGGCCCAATCTCCCTATTCCATCCAAAGGCCCAATCTCCTTATTCCATCCAATGGCCCAATCTTCCTATTCCATCCACAGGGAAGGCCCTAGCAGTGGAGACATATAGGCTGTATTATAGTAATATAAGTTATTTACGGGATTGTTACATTGTACCTTGTTTTTAGCGAGTTTCCGATATTTGGTGATGATGAAATAAATTGAATAACTAACACGTAGAACAATTCCCTTGCAGATTATCAAACATGTACGCGGAGTCCGCGGACGAATATTTAACATTCACACTATGCGACGACGGCATAGAGATGGTTCACACCGAATACTCGGCTTCTTTAGGAGAACTAGTGGAATTGCATCTGCATCAACACCGCTCCATACCTGTGTTCCTTAGTGCTCTGACATGTGATCTGTTTACTCGAACCACTATGCAACATGAAGTCGAAGATTGCTGAGAAGTAAAAAAAATCTAAGAAACTTTCGTCAGTGAGCGAGCTTCTGCATCTATTTACCTTACTCATGTATTTGTTTTCAGTGTAAGAGTAGTATTTGGTCTCGAATGCACATGAAAAATCATGTTTAACACTCATTCTATATCAATTTGACTTTAAACAATTGAATAATATATAATATGAAACGATCTATTAAACTCACAGACTTAATAAACTGAGTGTATTTTTTTTCTGCTTGCTTTTACCCATGCTTTTAAACCTCTTTGAAAGATTCTGAAACAGTTAGATTATTGCCAACATTTAAATATCCCAAGTCCGAATAACCATAATATTAAAAGGAAAGGAAATGTCATAAATTTCACTCCTTTGCTTTTTCGATCCCTTCCGCGCAAAGGGTTTACTCATCAGACAGCCACATTTTTACTGTTCTATGGTACAGATATCTATCTGAAATCATTTTTAAAAAAGGTCATTTTCATTCACCACAGCGCCGAAACTTTTCATGAATTTTAAATTCTTAGAACGCTCCATGGTCTCAGAATCTTATAGAGGATTCATAATCATAGGCGAAGATAAAGTCTTGTACCTATGCAACTGTTTATAATTAGTTAATAAAGCACTATTGCGTTTTAAACATGCACGCCACGCAGTGAGTGTTCCGATAAAAACTGTGCAAATGACACCAGATCCACACTTGATAAGTGTCCCTTTAAACTAAAAAAAATACGCACAAGCGTCTTTTATGCGTAATTTTTAAACAATAGTGTTTTGACCGCGCTTTGTTTACAACGCCACGCAGTGACAGTGTTCGGATAAAAACTGTGCAATTGACACCAGATCCAAAGGACATTGCTCGTTCCCCATACATTGAATGCCCTATAACGCCCAGCAATGAGAAAATGCTAGTTGTGTTCGGAATCATTCATAAACTCTAATTAAGCATTTGTTGAGATACGGACAACTTGAGGAACCGTGGCCTACTACAGAATGTATTAGATTTTGAGGTTATGATTATTATACTTAATCGTAAAAGATGTACACTTTATATATTCTGAATAGATTTAGTTTTTACCTCTATGTAAGCACTGAAATAATATGCATTAAATGAACATAAAATGCAATTAATAATAAAAATAATAAATGCTTATATTCATATTGATTTATGAGTGTTGTCAGTTGGCACCTATGATAATAGATTTCTTTTCAAATGAAATGTTCAGTCTTTCCATTTACCTGTTTCTATATTTTACTATCGGTAATTAGGTATGTACCTGGTTATCAATATGATTTTCATAAAAATAAACAGATATTACATGGGATGGGAGTATAAACTATATTTACATAATTTCAGAAATAATCTTTTTATAAATATAATATAAATACTAGTAATAACTATTATTGACTAAGGTACCTAGTTCTATTTTTATGTTGATAAATACCTATGGTCGCCTATATTGCATTCATTAAGGTAAACAATCTTGACACAACTTCTTAACAGAATCACCCGTTTAATAATAAAATATTAACGAAGCCAATAAACTATTAAAATAAATCGTCATTATAGACTGAAACCTATTGAATCTAGTTATCAGTTGATTTTTAATGCTGTATTTTCAATAAAAAGGAGTGCCAAGTTGGATGAACAGACTGTAGTATCTAGTAACAGAACTTTTATTTTTTATTTTCTTAAACAGATTGTCCGTTTACAATGATTAATTGCTAATAAGTTAAAAAAATCATTAAAAAAAATAATAGTGAAGGACATTCTTTTGGGCATGCTAGGGCCGATTTCGTCGATGTCCTTTGATAAATGTCCCTTTAAACTAAAAAAATACGCACAAGTGTCCTTTGTGCGTAATTTTTAAACAATAGTGTTTCGACCGCGCTTTGTTTACAACGCCACGCAGTCACAGTGTTCGGATAAGAACTGTGCAATTGACTCCAGATCCACACTTGATAAGTGTCCCTTAAAACTGACAAAATTACGCAACTATCTTGGCGTTTTCTATCGTATTGCCAATTAATAACATTTTAATAGCCACAACAAGATATCTCTTCCCGTGTGCGCCCCCTGCGTCACGTGATCGTTTATGTCTCTTTCGCACCGTAATCAAACTCTCTCGCTCATATGCGATTGACAGTGAATCTTACAGCCACGACATAACGTGTTAATTTAAACAAATGTATTAATTTAGGCGATTGGGAGTCAACTTGTTTTCTACACATCAATGCTATTACTTGGAACGATCTTCCACCGCCTCTAAGAATAAAAACCAGTGGTCAGAATTTTAAAGCTAAGTATAAAAAGGCGTTATTGCAAAAACAACTTGCAGCGGAGGACTTGAGACACGCACACTGGAAAGATTTGCCTTTGATTCGGTTTTTCCACCATGTCTAACCTTCTTAGTTTCTGAAATTTTCTATCAATTTGACGCATGTACCTACACAATATACAATTATTTACCACACCCGCACACACACACACACACACACACACACAGACACAAACAAACAGTACACTCCAGGACCCACATTTCACATAAAGATATAAGAGCAGTACCCTCTCTATTTAGTTTGTAAGAATGCAAGTTTTTTTGTGTAATATTTTAGCAGTTCTTTATTACTGGCTGTGACCCGCATAACATCGCAGGGAAAAGGTTGGGGCTGAAAACCAGCACGGACCAGGGCATACCTTGGCTCCGCTTACGCTGAGCCTCGTCCTCTTGCCTCCACTTAATGTTATATTAAGATACATACTTGTAATTTGTTTATCCTTTAGGTAGTACGTTTTAAGGTTTTAATAAGTGTTTCATAATTTGGAGGCAATAAAACAGTTATTATTATTATTATTATTATTATTATTACTTTCTTACAAGAAGAATTCTAATTTTAGACAGCTTACCTTGATCAATTTCTTAATTATCAAAAGGAAAAATATTGCTCGGGTAATTACTTAAGCAGAAGTAATTCCTTTTATATATTTATGAATACAACTGTTTGTGTTGAATTAAGAAGGTTATTATCAAAACGAGTTGTTTATCCTTCCATCAACGATGCTATAGATAACGGGTAGTACTTTTGTATGCAAAATCAAAGCTAAAAGTGTCCGTGTGAGTATATACTTATGCAGCTGCATTCGATTCCCAATGAACAAATACAAATGTTTTAAAACAGTTTAAGTTCAACCTAATAATAACCATGTCACAAAGGAATAAAGTTACATATAACGAAATGTTATTTGGTACATACGACTCGAGAAAATAAGTTTTCACACCTCAAGTGAGGCTATATTTACCGAGACGGATTTTACGCGCTGACCCGTTATCTATACTATTGTTAATCGAAGTGTTTATCATTACATCTTACGGCAGAAGAATTGTTGAAGTTTTTGTTCTCGCAATTCACGATTGTACGATGCACGCTCTTTCACAATGTATTAAGGTTCAATTTTGTAGAATTCATGTGCATTCGTTAATTGCAACATTAAAACACTGGCAAATTAATGGTTTAATTAGACACATTCAAATGTTTCATTCACATGTAGTGCAATTCAATCTTTATGGTCGTTATAGCCCAACTATACACTACATTACCATACATTTCTACTGCGTAGCTACTTGTGCTAACTTCACGTTGCCATTAAATTTAAATCGCACTGCACTGTACAATTCTTCTTTCTTGTTTGGTTGGCAAAGCATTAAGTTAACAATAAACAGGACGTAAGTTGGTATACCATTTTTAGACCGGGTTTGTAGAATAAGAATACAAGAATAAAGCTGTATAATCTACCTACATTTTTAAAGTGTTAGTCAATACGATTTTTTTTGTTAATTATGTCTGTATTTACTGTGTAAGTGGATTTTTTGTAAATTCTTTTGAGTAAGTAAATGTCTTTAGCCGTAAGTATAAGGTCCAACGGTATTGTATCGCCTCGATGTTTATAGATGACTAGCTGTGCCCCGCGATGTTACCCACTGTTTATTAGTTATATTTTCCCGCTGTAAAACGTAGCCTATGTGTTAATCCAGGGTGTCGGCTAACAACATACCAAATTTTATTAAAATCGCTGCAGCCGTTAAGACGTGAAGAAGTAATATACATACACACTCACACACTTACAAACTTTCGCCTTTATAATATTGGTGTGATAGATACGGAACTGATTCGTTTCATTCATGTAAGTCAAGTGTTAGAGAGTTTAACCGTAACTGCGCAAATGTTGACTGATAGAAGGTTAGAATCTGTGACAAAATTGACTGATATATGTTGATGTACTAGAATCATCTGTAAACATTATGTTGAAGATATGGTAATGTTTTGTACACAGTGCTTATTTCTTACTGAGTTTAAGTTATGATAAGTAAGTTAAGTTGTAGTTATGATTATTTTCATTACAAACATTGTGAATGTATGTATATTTATAGGAAAGCCGTAAAATAATGCAAAACACATGGTCAGTCACGCGATCTATGAGCCCATGATTATAATTATAATGAACAATTTATTCTTATTATTATTATAGGTAGGCACTTGTAATTTTAATGAAATTTCATAAAATAAATATGGAAAAAATAACGTCTATTTTATTTTATTTACTTAGCTTTTAAAGGCTATACTTATGATTGAATAGGGATGATGACGGGGTTATCAAAATTTATAGTGTGTCAGTTAGATAAACAAAAAATACTTAGTAGACACTTATGTTTTATTTTGTCAATTAACCTAAAAATGACAAAGAATATAAAGCACTTCACGGCAGAAACATGGACAAAATAAGTGAGGCGCTGCGATAGCTAAGTTGTCTCAATAAAAGCGGGCTAATTTGAAATGACCAATGCTGCGAAGAAAATTTGCACAATGTTCAACTAACTTCATCTACTTGTACTCATAAACAGCTAGCTTCACAGATACTAATTACCGACGGCAGCGCGGCTGGTGGCTGAAAAATGTACTATAAATTCTACGAATTTTCAGGGAAGGCGGGCTAATGCTTTAGTACGTAGCGTTAGTTCTCCTTCTCTCTAACCTCCATGTTGTAAACACTTCGATAATAAAAACAGACCAGGTTTTATATACTTGAAAAACAAAACACGCGTATATTGTATCTTACACTAGCGTAAAGTTAGCGAAATGTTATTATTTTTGTCTCGGTGCGCATGCGTGAGATACCAGGTTAGGTCACATTCCCCAAAAAGTGGGTAAATTTAATCAAATAAAAATTAGTATATTGTTCACACAAATAAAAATCATAGGCGTTGAAACATCTGTAAAACGTATAAATTTATACTTGGATATTTGAGATTAAAAAATATGTTACATTTTTTTATTTAGTTTAACTAAAATGTAGAAACAACTACTAACAAGTAAATGGACCTTTTTTATATCGTCGCCCCCGGCGAATAAAATGGTAATCGAATAAAACCAATTATTCAGTATAATTAAAAAACATGTTTTGACGGATCAAAAAATAACTATACATCTAGGATAAATGAGAGATATCTCAAAAGAAAGTTATTTTTTATACCTTTTACGATCTTATTTTAGGTTATTTTAAATAGTAAATTAAAAGGAGATATTTGAAAAAATAAATAATAGTATAAAAACTTTGTTAAAATTAATTACTAATGTACTATTACCATGTTATTCGCGATATATGAGTTGTACGAGCAAGCTACGTACATTTCGCCCGCTCATCATTTTACTAATTTACCATTGATCAAGAAAGCCGTGTGCGTACTCATTCATAACAATAATTTTTATATCAATTAGTATCGTTTTAAGTTATTGTTTAGTTACCAAAATATACTTTATTATCAAGTTATCTAGTTTATCATTTTATCAGTATCTTAGTTTCGGTACATCCCGAACATTGGTCCTTCGCAGCCTACGTGACAGGCGGGACTTGACGCATTTTGAGTTCGGTGAACTATACTCGTGTCACTCGTTTCGCAAAGTGACGTGTTGAACTAAGTGCAAGTGCATACGTGTACCAATAACTGTGCGTATTGCTATCGATAGTCCTAACTACTGAGCCTATCGTCATCAAAAGTGAGCTTCAAGTTTGTGGTGGTCATCATCAAGGATCAACAAGTAACAAGGCAGTTCGACTGCTTTGAGACAACAAGGTCTCAAGTCGGTCCAAGCAAGGGTGGAGTCGCACGCAGTCAAGGGCAAGCAGATCATATCAAGTAAGATCAGTCCTTTTATTCTTTAACATGTCCGCAATGGAAAATATTTTGTCCAACCAGCAGCAAATCGCAAAAGCAATTGAGCAAGTCCTTACCAATTTTAAAAAGGACGGGGCTGAGAGGAAGACGTCGGAATATTTGCATCGTAGGTTAGACATCCTGGATAACTATTGGACTGAATTCCGTAACAACCATGCAAAGTTACCGGAACTCGGTATGGAGTCCCATTGTTATTTTCTCAGCAATGAGTATGAACGGGTAAAAGAGAGATACGAATCGATTAGGTCACATATACACAATTATCAGCCTGTAGCAGCAGATAAGCCAGCAATGCCTATCCTGAAACCGCCAACGTTCACGGGTAAGTCCAACGAAAGTCAACAGCCTCAACCGTCATCAAGAGGAACGGCAAGTAAAACTGAAGATATGCTGAAAAAACAAAGCAGTAATTTCAAAGCATTCCAGCGTACCATCAGCAACATAGACTTGGCTTCTGTTTCGGAAAAGTGGGAGTTCGATGACATATTACGAACCTTGCAAGCCCGCTGGGCGGCTATAGACTCCCTACATTGGGATTTAGACAGCGAACTTGAAGGCTCCAACGAGGAGTACGAAGATGCATTTTCGAGTTATGAGAAAACATATAATAATATCAAGAAATTAATAAACAAAAAGATGTGGTCAGTGGCACACATGGAAAAGGCTACTCTACAGATGGAAATCCCGACATTCATTGGTAACTATAACAACTGGGTTTCGTTCAAGGATCTATTTACTGAAAGTATTCACAATAACCCATCTATGACGAATGCCTAGATAATGCAATTTTTGTAAACAAAGGTAAAAGGAGAAGCTGAGAGATTGACCGCTGGAAGCCGTTTGTAAGCAACCGAGTCAAACAAGTGACATCCATAGTAGCTGCGGAGTGTTGGTCTTACGTCAAATCAAAGGATAATCAGGCAGATTGGGCCAGTCGCGGGCTCACAGCTTCCGCACTGAAAGAACACACTCTTTGGTGGCAAGGGCCTACTTGGTTGCTTACTTACGAGCCA